CAGCCGGAGTCACCTAACGTGACCTGTACGGCTGAATCTAGAGCTCGAATCTCCATCTCACTAACTATACCTGCACACGAGTCGGAACCACCTAAAGTGGTATGTACGACAGGCCTGGGTGTAATATAAGTACGCTCTAGTGCTACGATCACGTGAAGGTTGGGCGAATAATCGCGGGTCACTTACGAGTCAGAACCACCTAAAGTGGTCTGTACGACAGGACTATGCACCTAACTTGGATCCAAGATGAGCGTGTGGTGCGGGAGGTGAACATCACGTGAAGGACTGTGCCCTACTCTGGGCCGGAGCACTAACACCGGGGGTGCAGGTTACGAGCTCTCTCTAAGTCTCTAAAATCATTACTGGATGTAAATATAAAGTCATACTCACCTGGCACTTACCTGTGCGTCCGCGACACTAATACACATGCATATATATATATATATATATATATATATTTAACTAATAATGCATAACAAATGGCAATGTAATGCATGGCATATAACAAATAACGAATCAAAATCAATTTCTGGGAAAATATAAGTATATAGGTATATACGGAAAACCAAAAGCCCACTCACTGGTAAGTGGAAGGGTCGTAACCCCCCTGCCTCGAGTGACCACGCTCGTCCTCGGGATACGTCTCACCTATATGCGAAACAACTATAAAAACGTTAATTTTAAAGCACATAACCAACCTTTAGAAATAACTTCTCATACATTGCTCAAATGGGGTGTATGAATACACCAACGTGATCTACTCAACCTCAGGAACATCCCCATATTTTTAAAATAATTTTTCACCGTCGCACGCGCCCCCACACGCCGGCCAAGGCACGGCCACACGTGCTGGCCACGCGCAGGCACGTGCTTGGCATGCTGACGGCATCAACTGACGCCGTTAGGAATATTCCGTTATCTATAACGGTTTCCGTCAATGGCGTTAGGAATATTCCGTCAGATTTGACAGAATATTCCGTCGTCTTCTCCGGCGAGCCTCCGGCGCCGGAAAATCGGGAAAACTTTAAAACGTCCTATCTTCTTCGTTTTTCAACCAAATTTCACAAAATTGGTACCAAAATGAAGCTTGCAACGAGAGGAACACAATCATACCACTTTCAAGTGCTAAAATCCACAAAATCTCACCTGAAAAATCACCCCAACTCCGGCCAACCTCGAAACTCGTGATCCCGACGTCCAAAACCTTCAAACGAACCACCCCGAGCCTCCTAGGAACCTCACCAAGCTTCCTACAAGCTTGAAATTCCCTAAAACGTGAGAAATCACGTGTGCATGAACAGTACCAAAATCGGGCAACCCGAGTTCAACGTGAAAACGAAGGTATTCTTACCTGAGATGGGTATGGTTGGACTCCTACGAGCCTCACGAGCATGGATATATACTTTATACCTTCGATTTGTGAAGGTTTGATAGGTGTGTGTGTGTGTCCGTACAATGGAGGAGGGAAAGGGAAGGGAACTGGGCACGGGATAGGGTGCAGGGCAGGAGAGAAAGGGTGTGGGTGTAGGTTAGTATATGTGTGGCCCAAAAACATGCCAACAAGGAACCCAAAACCAATAAACGTAAAAAAATCGCACTAGGGGTAAAATCGTCTTTTCACGCGTACGTTTTTAAAATTCCCGGGACGGGCTGTCACATGATAATGTGGTAGAAATTATAAATTAAGATTTGTAAAAGAAATAAAACGATGACATTGAAGTATTTTAATAGTGAAATGCTAAGGTGTTTAAAGTTAAGGAACTTTGATAAAAAACTAAAAACCAATAAGATTTCAATCTATGAACATTGGTGACTAGGGGCTGGATCCTAATTTTTTCTAATTGGATTATTAATCTTCTAGGTATATATGTCTTAATTAGGCAATAAACTCAGAAGTCAAATGCAATATGCTTAAATCTTGTGAACTACAAAAATGAAGGTACAGGATCAATGGCGATGGAATCAACGCACGCCAATTGGCAATTTACCATTATATGTATAGGACTTATAAAATGATATTTCTTGATGCTAGAATTGTGAAAGTGATGATGTGATCCTTTTTAAAACTTTATTTTGACACTTCATTGAATGTGTGCCAACTAAACCCTCGCTTTTTTATTTTTTATTTTTTTTTGACAAACAATAGAATAATTACCCTTAATTCACCAAATTTTGAAAAAGAGGGTTCGAACTTGGATGCAGAGGATAAAGTATATTGCTCTAATAACCAACGTGACTAAACTCAATTTGCTAAATCTCTCGCTTTATTAATTAAGGTACCAAATTTGATTCTCTCCTTCAAATAAAAAAAAGTATGTCAAACCAATAATGTCACTAACACTATGGTTTAGAAGTACTTTTTTTTTTAGCGGGAGACCTCATATTCGACTCATATGAATGACGAGATAATTATGACTCACTAATTTGCTTGGATCTCCCATACCATTGGACTGAAGTTGATTAAATTCAATGCTCGTACCAAATGGTGAGAAGATATTGGAGTTTTCAAGTTGTATATTCATTGTAAGGAAAAAGATTACAAGACCTAACCAATATATGTATGTTGAAGAAAAGGAACAAGCCCCCTATCCCTCCTTGATTTAAGCCTAAAAATCTAACAACCAAAAGTAAACAACCACTAGATACACATCCCTTGAATTAAGGGTATTGACAACAAGAAACACTATTGGCGACAACAATGTAGAAGAAGGCAGAAAACAACCCACTCTACACGGTACATCAACCCATCCCCCTAAAAACTAGGTTAACAACAAGTACACTTATTTTAATACTCCCCCTCAAGCTAGATCAAATGGGTGAATTGATACAAGCTTGAATCACCTTCGACTGAACTTGATTGCGAACATAGTGGCAATCAATCCTGATATGTTTAGTTCTTTCATGGAATACTGATAGGAGCATATTTAGGCGACTTAGTTGGCTTGTTTTCGTACATTTATGTTGTTAGTTCATAGTTATTTTAGTAGTTTAAGCTATTTTCGTGTGTTTTTAGGTTCATATGGCTAAGGAAGCAAAAAGGTGCATTTTGGAGCAAAATTGGGCTTGGAATGGATAGCTTATGCTTGGAGCAAAAGGAATGGATGAATTTGAAGACCTAAAGATGTTAGTATTCCTAATCACAAGAGGATTCCTAATCAAAGTAGGATTCCTAATCAAAGAAGGATTCCTAATCAAAGAAGGATTCCTAATCAAAGTAGGATTCCTAATCAAAGAAGGATTCCTAATCAAAGAAGGTTTCCTAATCAAAGAAGGTTTCCTACATGAAGTAGGAAAGTTAAGCCAAGGTTTCCCATTTTTGTTTGACCTTTCCTAATCCTAATGTTTCCTACTTAATTTCCAGCTATCAAAAGGGGTTCCTAATCAATTTGGGACACTTAAATATATGTCCTAAAAGCTCTAATCCCAGTCCAAGATGGAGCCGCACCTTTCTTACCATTTTCTTCCAAAATCTGCCATATATCTTCTTTCCCCTTTTCTTCTAGTCAATCCTGCAAGTCTCCTTCCTTTTCTCTCTTAGGATTCTGATTTGTTACCCTTATCTTGGAGGATTTGGAGTCTTAAAACCTTCCCAAATTAATTACTTATTGCCTTAACCTTTCTCCCTCTATATATACATAATCTGCCGCACATATTGGGGACTCTAGACAGCCATACACATCCATTCGAATTATTCCTCATTCTCTCCATTCATTCAGCCATCATCCACCCTCTACCACCATCCAACCTATCCATCCATCACCATAATTCATACCCAAACACCCTTGTGCCGCAACAAAGAAGGAGAAAGAAGAGAGGAGAAGCCTTGGATGTTTTGGCCATTCAAACTTGGATTGTTGGAGCGTTTCTAGGTGTATTCAATATTTGTTTTCAATGTTTAATTTATATTCTCTTTGTTTTGTTGTAAACATGAGGAGCTAAACTTGTTTTAGCTAGGGGAGACTTTGAAACTATGATTATATTTGCAATATGAATTGATTAATTCCAGTTGTGATTTCATAAATTGTGAATGCAATTTACTTAACCATTTGATGGATAACTTATTCTTGTTTGTTGATTAAGGGTGCACACTTAGTTTGCATGCATGAATTTGGTGCTAGAATATAAGGGAGTTTCACATAATTGTTACAAACTTATATTCACAAGTAGTTAAGGTTGTTTTCACAATCATGTTAAGTAAATTCCTAGCATGAGTATCATGATGTCATAGTTACAAGTGCTTTGTCAATACTTATGATTTTCATAGAACGTAATGATCTTTGATTGTATCTCTATTATGATGTCATGTAGGGGACTTTTGAAGAATGCTTTGGGTTGTCGAATGATGTCATCCAATCCAATAACTAAAGGAAAATCTGAGGGTTAATTAGTGATGTCACGGTTAATCTGGGGTGTTGAGGTTCATGGTTTATCGAAAAGCAACTGAAAATCAATTTGTATGCAAGTGTGTCATGTGTGGAGAAGGACCCTCTAGCTAGCTAATTACCCATCCATATACCCAAATTCGTTCATAGCTTTGTCTAGTTTAGTTTCTGTTTTGTTTTAATTCAAACTCGTCAAAACCAAAACCCCCCTTTGTTTTAAGTGTCAATTAGGTTAGAATCTGAGCTATTGTGTGTTTTTAAGTGTTTTGAGTCAAAACTAATTCAATTTTCGTCCAAAGTAAGTCCTAGGGTCTAGTTTGAGTCTTTTTGATTGTTTTGTGTTGTTTTGAGTCTTTTGAGTTTATTTTGAGTCATATAGGTTTAGTTAAGAGTCTTTGAGTTTGTTTAAGTGCTTTTAAGCATATTTTTGTATCTTTGAGTCAGTTTTCATTAGATTAGCAATCCCTCCTAATCCCCCGCCTAGAACGATCCCTACTTATATCTATACTACAATTGTCAAAAAGAGGGTTTAATTTGTGTGCTATTATTTATCACATCAAATACTAGATTCGATGCAATGTGCATCACAACCTGGTTATCACAGTGCAAGGACATAAGTTATTGATGAGAAAACCCTAAGTCCAACAGAAGGTGTTTGAGCCAAATTAGTTCACACGCAGTGGAGGCCATAGCACAATATTCTGCCATGGTGCTGGAACGTGCAACAACACTTTGTTTCTTACTTTTCCAGGTAACTAGATTGCCTCCGACAAAGATACAAAAACCTGTGGTGGACTTACGATCGAGAGAATTGCCCGCCCAATTAGCATCTGTATAACCAGAAATGCAAGTGTGACTAATGTTGCGCATAATAATTCCTCTACCAACAGAACCCTTGAGGTAACGAAGCGCACGGTGAACAATCTTCAAGTGATCCACAGTTGGAGAGTGCATAAACTGGCTAACAAGACTGATAGCATGTGATATATTAGGATACGTGATAGTCCGATAAATGAGTTTGCCAACCATCATTTGATAGTAACGTATGTTTGGAATGGCATCACGATGAGTTTTCAGCTTCAAGTTGCTATCCAAGGGAGTGCGAGCAGGCTTGCAATCTGTCATATTTGCTTCGTGAAGGATGCCAATAACATACTTCCGTTGGTTGAGAAAGAAGCCTTTGTGAGAGTGTGCCATCTCGATTCCCAGAAAATATTTTAGATTGCCAAGATCTTTGATTGGAAACTTGTTGTTGAGATACTGTTTAAAAGCATTGATCTTTGACATATTATCACCTGTCACAATTAGATCATCAACATATATTAGCACAATGAGTTTACCCATTAAGCTAGAACGAACAAATAGAGAGGAATCCGCAGTGCTTTGACGAAAACCAACTCTTTCTAGAACATGACTTAGCTTGGCATACCATGCACGTGGACTTTGCTTGAGACCATAAATGGATTTATGAAGTTTGCACACCATTTCTGGGTTATTTGATTGAGAAAAACCTTGGGGAAGCTTCATGTAAACTTCTTCTTCAAGTTCACCATGCAGAAATGCATTTTTAACATCCATTTGAAGGAGAGACCATGCATTGTTGATAACAACACCCTAACAATGTTCATTTTTGCCACGGAAGCAAATGTTTCCTAATAGTCGACCCTATAGGTTTGTGTAAATCCTCAAGTAACCAACCGAGCCTTATGCCTTTCAACCATGCCATCTAAATGGAACTTGGTTTTGTACACCCATCGGCTCCCCATTGCCTTTTTCCCTTTTGGCAGTTTCACTATGGTCCATGTGTGATTTTCATAAAGAGCTTGAAGCTCTTCTGCCATGGCAATTCTCCACTCACTTTGAAGATTAGCTTCTTGAAAACTTTGTGGTTCACGAGTTTCATTAATAGCACTTAAGAACGCAGTAAAACATGGTGAGACTTTGTTATAATCAATAACATCAATCAAAGGATACCTGGTAGTGTATGTCACATAGTCATGTAACTTGAAGAGAAGTTTCCTTTCACAAGTAGGATTGCAACGAACTGGAGGGGAGTGGACTGCAGGTAACTAAGTAATGCCGTTGTTGGATGGAGTCTTTGAAAGAGGAGACTCTAAAGGAGTAGAGAATTCCTCTTCAAGATGTGTCACGAAGTGAAGGTTGCTAGCATCCAGTTCATGCTCACTAGAAATGCATGTTGCATCTTCTTCATTTGGATATGGAGTTGGAAATAAATCCAGTAAATGCTCACCCTATCTAGAATCATCCAATGGCCATGAGAAGTAAGGAACTTTTTTGTCAAATTTAACATCCCTTGAAACAACCATTTTTTCTAGTTGTTGGATTGTAACACTTGTAACCTCTTTGGGTAGATGAATAACCTAGAAAGACACATTTGGCAGCCCTTGGGTCTATCTTATGACGATTTGGTGCTTGAATGTGAACAAAGCATGTACACCCAAAGACTCTCAAATGTGATAAATTGATCTTTTTGTCTTTTAAGACCTCATAAGGTGATTTAAAGTTCAGCACCTTACTAGGTAATCTATTGATGAGATATGTTGCAGTGAGAACTCCTTGAGACCAAAATTTCTTAGGCACATTCATGTGAAACATAAGAGCTCTAGTCTTCTCAAGTAGATCTCTATTCTTCCTCTCAGCTACCCCATTTTGTTGGGATGTTCCAACATAACTTGTTTGGTGTAGTATAGCATGCATACTCATATATTGTAACATGTTATGAGATATATATTCAGTGCCATTATCTGATTGTAAAACAAGAATTTTTGAAACAAATTGTGTGGTCACAAGTCTATGAAAATCTTGAAATACATTCATCGCTTCATTTTTAAATTTAAAAAGGTAAAACCAAGTGATCCTTGTGAAATCATCCACAAAAGTTACAAAGTATTTGTATCTATCAAAAGACTCTAGAATTGGTCCCCAAACATCGAAATGCACGATTTCAAAAGGATTACTAACCCTAGACAAAGAAGAGGTAAATGGTAATCTAGTAAACTTAGAGAAGTGACACACGTCACAAGAGCTTGTAATTTTGCACATGTTTGGGAACAAAGTGGATAGGAATTTTTCAGAAGGATGTGCTAGTCGTTGATGCCAAAGTTGTTGTTCTTGAGCTAAGCTTGAAGTGACTTGAAAAACCTTGGGATCTTGAGTATGCTTGGAAAGGTAGTTGAGACCATTTAAGAAAAATCCTTCACCAATCGTCTTCTTGGTGACTAAATCCTGAAAAATCACATTTTTTTTGGAGAGAAAATGGCAAGACAATTTAATGAGTTTGTGATCTTACCAACAGATAAAAGTTGAAAAAGGAATGAAGGGACATGAAGAGCCTTAGACTCGACATCACTTGAGATTAAATGTGTTTTTCCTTTTCCTACAACCATAGCACCCTTGCCATTAGCAACTGACACTTGAGATGGAGTTGAAAGTTTTTCAAAGTTATGCAAGTTTGTAGACTTGTTAGTCATATGATCAGTGGCTCCTGAATCTATAATCCAATAATCATGCATATTACCTGCTTTGAGAGCAGTTGAGAAAGAATGCAAGATACCTAAGATATCTTATTGTATCACACCTTCATTCTCAGCCAAAAAAGTAGCAAATTGTCCTAGTAAGGCAGTTTGATTATTGTCACACTGATTCGTTGGTTCTTCATTGTCTTCATGACCTTGTTTCTTGTGAAGGAATGTAGCAAATTCATTGACTAAAGTGGTTGGAGGAGATGGACTTCAGCGCTCCCTCGGATGAAGTGGTGGCAACATGATTTGCCTTGTAAAAAGAGTTGTGTGAGCCCTTAAAAGAACCTTTGTTGTTGTCCTTAAGGAACTTTGGCCTTAGCTCTGGATGAAGAATCTAGCAATGATCTCTTGAATGCCCTCCAGCATCACAGTGGCTACATTTCAAACTAGATCTTTTTCCTTTGTAGCCCTTCTCTTCACCAGGTTTATGGTTAGAAAAATATACCCTAGCTTCTGGTATATTTACCTTAACTTCCACGGTGATGACTTTTCTATGAACTTCTTCCTTTTGAATCGTGGCACACACACTTGAGAAAGAAGGCATGTTTAGATTCATGAGGATGTGGCTTCAAAGATCTTCGTATTTAGGACTTACGCTTGCTAGAATCTGGAATATCTTGTCCTCCTCACCTTTCTTAGTTAACACGGCAGCATCTATGGTGTGTGGTCGGTACACATTCAACTCATTCCACATGGTGGTCAACTTTCCAAGGTGTTACACAAATGAATTTCCTTCTTGTTGCAGGCCAGCAATATCCTTCTTTAACTGAAACACTTGAGCTGCATTATTTTGATTCCCATACATTTCTTTGAGATTTTTCCAAAGAGTTAAGGAAAATTCAACATAACTGAAATTTTTTGCAATCTTACAATCCATAGAGTTGAGTAGCCACAACATGATCAACTGGTCTTTGCATAACCAAGCATCGTAATCTGGTGAGGACTTTTCAAGCATTGGAATAGCACCATTGACATAGCCAAGCTTTGATCGTCCTCCCAAAGCAAAAGTGACTGCTCTCTCCCAAGGAAGATAGTTAAACTCATTTAGTAAGACAGAACTAAGATGTTTTGATTTGGGTTGACATCAACGTTTGAGCGAGGTGATGATGGAGTAGCATGAGAGCTATCTCCTTCGCCATGTACTGAACTTTGTTCATCCATGTTTGAAGAACAAAAAAAGCTCAAAAAATCTCTCAAGAGAGTACACATAGACAGGCCGGTTAGGGTCATTGCTCTGATACCATATTGGAGTTTTCAAGTTGTATATTCATTGTAAGGAAAAAGATTACAAGACCTAACCAATATATGTATGTCGAAGAGAAGGAACAAACCCCCTATCCCTCCTTGATTTAAGCCTAAAAAGCTAACAACCAAAAGTAAACAACTACTAGATACACATCCCTTGAATTAAGGGGATTGACAACAAGAAACACTATTGGTGACAACAATGTAGAAGAAGGCAGAAAACAGCCCACTCCACATGGTACATCAACCCATCCCCCTAAAAACTAGATTAACAACAAGCACACTTCTTCTAATAGAAGAGTTAATTTCAAAGCTATTCTGGTTAAACAATGCGTAACATGATAGCTGATCTTATATTGACGGACGATCCCACAAATACTCAAGTAACTATCAAATTGGCATGGGAGATACTACTGTCCTGAATGTCACGTAGTAGTTTAGTACATCATATCACAAGATGAAGTATTATATTAATTAATATCTGGCTAGTAAAATTTTGTTTCATTTAATTATCAAGTTGTTTTAGTTACGCCGTTCAAGCAACTTCATATTCAACACATGCCGGCCGTGGTCGGCTCTTACATCACATCTACAATATATATATATATATATATAGACACACACATATATACACAACACAACTAATATGGTTAATTTAAGAGGAAAACACTGATCAAGTACTCATCCCAAGTCCATACTATGGGATCATCCTTGAGTGCTTGCTGTAGCTCAGAGGAGGTAGATGAAGACAGGTATGTTAAACATTTTCGATCCTTGTCCTCTTCTTTGCCTAAATCCCAATTCAAAGTTAAACAGGCTAATTATTAATCTTTTGCAAAACTATTAATATATCTAGGTAGCTTAATTTGCTTGTATTGAATTTTTGTTAAAAGAGATCAAGTGTTCTTTGCCAAAAAGAAAAAAGAAAAAGGAAAAAAAATACAGAAATTAAATTTTCTTGGAATTTTTAGGACTACTCGTGAAGTTGGTGGAGGAGGTCACACATCATGGAGAATATTTTCGTACAAGGAGTTGCATACAGCTACCAATGGGTTTAGTGATGACAATTTACTTGGAGAAGGAGGGTTTGGAAGTGTTTATTGGGGAAAGACCAATGATGGTCTACAGGTAATTAAAAAGAAAGCTAATTAGTATCCTATATATCCTACTGACCTTTTTTTATTTATTTATTTATTATTTTTTTTGAGTAAATAATTTATTTTCAGATTGCTGTGAAGAAGTTGAAAGCAATGAATTCAAAAGCTGAAATGGAATTTGCAGTTGAGGTTGAAGTTCTTGGAAGGGTTAGGCACAAGAATTTGTTGGGACTTAGGGGATATTATGCTGGTGCTGATCAACGCCTTATTGTGTATGATTACATGCCAAATCTTAGTTTACTTTCTCACTTGCATGGCCAGTTTGCAAGTGAAGTTCAGCTGGACTGGAAAAGGAGAATGAAGGTTGCTATTGGCTCCGCAGAAGGCCTCCTGTAAGAGAGCCTATAAACTATACATTTGACTATTTATACATGCATGGTTTAGTTTGAAGCCACGGATTATAAATACCATTGATGAAAACAACATATGGAAGAGTTCGTAGATCTAGTCCTCCATAACTTACAAACTTGTACCTTATAACTCACTATGAAACTGATTAATACTATAATTAAGCAGTTAAACACCATTTGGGAAAGTTATTGACGTCTTTTTCATGTGACATTTGGAGGAAAATTTTCATTTCTATATTTAAGTGGATCAGTACGCATAGAAAAGAGTCGCAAAAAGTAGTACAGTACCCCCTCAGTATTTCTGGCACTTGTATGCTTGTGTCTTTAGAACACATGTTGAGAAATATTCTCTTGATGTACTATTTAGTTGAATAGGATTATTACCTTACTAGACTGAGAATATGAACACAATTGATTGTGTTGATTTTTGCTCAAACGTGTGGTCCATAATCACTATCTAGAGAATACTTAATTATATCGATGGTTCATTTAAAGAAATAAGTTTGTAAATGTGTTCCAAATAATAGTTTCATCATTTTTCACAGTTCTTCAACCAAAAACCAAATTTCCCAAATGCTACACAAAATTTTGGTCATTAAAATGATTTGACAGTTGTTTAACCTGTGCATTCTTATTCTATTTGTGGATTGTAGGTACTTGCACCATGAGGTGACACCCCACATCATTCATAGAGATATAAAGGCTAGCAATGTGCTATTAGATTCAGATTTCGAACCACTCGTTGCAGATTTTGGGTTTGCCAAGCTAATCCCCGAAGGTGTGAGCCACATGACTACTCGAGTCAAGGGCACTTTGGGTTACCTAGCTCCTGAATATGCTATGTGGGGAAAAGTTTCAGAGAGCTGTGATGTTTACAGTTTTGGTATTCTTCTTTTAGAGCTCGTAACTGGAAGAAAACCCATCGAAAAACTCCCTGGCGGAGTTAAGAGGACGATCACTGAGTGGGCAGAGCCACTTATAACCAAAGGCAGACTTAAGGAACTTGCTGACCCAAAACTCATAGGAGATTTTGATGAAGGTCAACTGAAGCGAGCTATCAATGTTGCTGCACTTTGTGTGAAAAGTGAGCCTGAGAAAAGGCCCAAGATGAAGGAAGTGGTTGATCTTTTAAAAGGGTATGAGGCTCAAGCCAAGATGACACCACTGAGAATTGAAAGTGTGAGATACAAGGAGGAGCTTCTGGCCCTCGACCAAGCTACCGACGACGATGAAGATGGAGGAGCAGACGAAAGTACTAACGGGTATGGAGTTTTTAGTGCTATAGAGGTGCAGAAAATGCAGGATCCTTACACGGAGAGGAGAATGGCCAAATATATGTGACAGTGTGAGAGAGTGTTAATTTAATTTTGCTTATCTATACATATAGTTCTTGATTTGTCAATATCAACGACAAGTAATTATTTTCCATAACAAAAGAAATTGGTTTGTGAGAGGAGCTTGACAAGCTTTATTCCTTTGGTCATGACACAAGTTTGAAGATGTTATAATATACGATTGCCATTATCTTTTGAACAAATTATTTGATTTTGTGTCCCGGTAAGGGGTTTTAGCTAAAGCCTTTGGGTCAGCCAGAATAATTTAGTTTTGAACTTATCATTCACAGGAGTTAAATCTGATAACTCTAATGTAGTTGTTTGGACCCAAAATATTGGGCCTGGACCGAGTGTGACTTTGGGTTCGGTCCAAAATGAGGACCTTTAGTGCCCAGTACAGTTCTAAGACCAAATCCAACCCAAGGTGGGATAGCCAAATCCTATTTAGTGTTTGACTCTTGAGAAGTCAGGATTGGATTCGGTTGAGTCCTTAATCAAGTAAAATTGTTAAGGATCAGGATGAACGTTGATAAGATTTGTAATAATCCCAAAATCAATGTTCATAGCTGATCACGACTAAGAAAGAATTAAATAAAGAAGATGGACTAGGTTCAGATTCTGAAGTCCATTACAAGTGGCTGAAGTCGATCTATAGATCATAATAAATTGGGATTGGATCAAGGGGTGCCGAAGAAGTACAATCCAAATAGGACTCTACTTCGGCATAAGGTAATCAACATGAAAACCACTCCTATAAGTAGAAGAGGTACTGCAACTTTCAAGGCCTCTTCGACTCAACACACAAATCTACCTTACGTAATTTCTCGCTTTACATGAAACCCTCTCAAACCTTTGAAAAAAACACTGAAATTCCTAACTTCGTCAAGCACATCTTTCAGTTTGTATAAACAGCTGTGTGGTTGACAACCGATGACATCTTACAGTTTGTAGAAACAACACTGGAGTCGTAGAGTCAAGTGATCTAGGAGCATCTGTTTGTAGAAACAGCACTACTCCTAGTTCGGTTAACTATCTATCCAAGTCTATATCAGTAATGAGTCTCTGAGTCATTGTTGGAATATGTTATCTCATTAGCTTCTCGACGAGTGAAGTGTTACTAGGTCACATTGTTCAACACATTGAAAGTAGAACCCATTATATGATTGGATACTCACAAGTGCATTTAAGAGCTCGGCATTCCAACCATTGAACCACTACAATTAAGACACTTATCTCCTTTCAGTATTTATGTCCTCACAATTTGGTACCAATTCGGCACACACTTATATTTTCAAAAATATAATTAAAGCGGCTGAGCTCTGTGTAGACGATTCTCATGAAGGAAAAATTTTTCCTAGCTAAGAACATGTGATAATATTTGAACACATAAGCAAACTAATAACACTTTAAAGTAGGCATGCATTAAAAAACAATTCTAAAAACACATGACTTTCAAAGCCTAGTTAATGGTGAACCAAAGGACTCTTTAACAACTTAAAAGAGAAGAGAGAGTTTGAGTTTCATTACCCTTGAAGCTCATCCTTGTTTACACAAGGGCTTCACCCAAGTGGAGGGCCTTCAAGTCACCTCCTTTGCTCCTTGGATGGTTGTTTCTTTGCTCCTCCTTTGCTCCTTGGGGATTTGAGAAGAGGAACTCCAAGAAAACCAAAAGTTTGGTGTCTTTAAGTTTCCACACCAAGGATGAGGTGTGAAGATGAAATGGATAACTTTGAGGAAGGAAGATTGCTAGCTATTTTTCTCTTAGTGTGGCCGGCCTTTTTGGAAGACAAAGAGAGAAAGAGTTTTGCTCTTTTACCTCAAAGAAAAAAAACCCTTGACATGGTAAAGCTATAAAGTTCCTTTTATAGCACCTCACATTTGAGTGGCAAACTTGCAATTATGCCAAATTCACTACCACTCACCCTATGGCCGGCCATCCTTTAGTTATTGGGCTATTTGCCCATTTTGTTTTAGCTATCATACAACTTAAATATAATGGGCCTTGTGGACCAAAACTCTTTTAGGCCTCGAGACCCGGAACTAACTTGAAAGTCCAATACGAACCTTTCGTATAATTAATTAACTAATTAATGAACCTTGACCGTTCTCAATTAACCCATTTAATTGCTTATCCATCTCATTCATATTTCTTCACTTTCATCCTTACTCAGTTTACGATCTATTAGGTTCCCATTAGCGAGGCAGTGGGCGATTGTTACTCTTAACGATTGATTATGAATTGAAACTACATTTCAATTCTCCATTTGATGAAGATTAGTGTTTGCTAATCTTCAGGTCTTCCACAAACCATGAGTAACACCTATCAGTATGTCATGGCTACCCAAGCTAAGTAGAAGTGGTTGGAGAACCTATCCAGTTACAATTATAATGCAATACCGTCCTTCTCTAATACAATACTCTTAATCACATTGTTTGGGTGATAGTTTGTTTCATGCCTACTATCCAATGTGATACTTCTCTATATGATTCAATTGAATATGATTTGGAATAAACTTCCTAAGTCATATTCTTATGCTTTGGCCAAAGACTCCTGAATCATATCTCAGAGTATTCTCCCTCCACCATGGAAGGTTAGAGATCCCTTGTTGTGCATTCATATGCCTACATGACTAGATAGCTTGACCCTAACAATGTCGTGGACACTCTCGATGGAATGCTTTTGACATGATCAAAGATCAAGGACCTAACCATTAGACATCTATGATGCCTCAGGTCAAAGGACTACTTTGCATATTGCAACTTATGAGTTCTTACATGACATGTATGTTCGAACTCTCTTTTGATCGTAGTTCAGTGTAGTCGATTACCATTTTGTGCACCTATGAGTTTGTCTCAATGTCCAACACTAAATGACTTGAGACTAGTCATACTCACGCTTGAGTTAACATAACACATACTAACCTTAGCGAATTGTCAATGCCCAATTGGCAATCCTATGACTAGGAACGTTTTAGGAATGAACATAAGAGAAAGGTCTCGCTAATATCGTTAATCTAACTTACTTAGATAACTTCTCTCTAAGATTAAATACATTCCTTGGATTCCCTTATTGCTTAAACACATACAATAAATAGTGATTAACAATAAGCTTTGGCTTTTCATTAAACATATAATAGTTTACACACAATAAGTATTCCAAAAGCTATTACATCAAATGAGTGGCTTTGTGGGCATACTTCCAACAATCTCTCACTTCCACTCAAAGCCACCTTCCCATGTATCTAATACCCATCTTTTCCATATGGTGGTCAAGTTGGATTTAAGACATTGGCTTTGTTAGTGGATTTACTATGTTATCGACTAAGGCAACCTTGAAGATGTTGACTTTCCCCTTGGCAGCATATCTTCTAATGATGTTAAAGTGTTTGTCAAAATGCTTTTTCTTTTGATGAGCCCTAGGTTCCTTGGCTTAAGCTATCGGCCCACTATTATCACAGTACAAAGTTACTGGTGATGTAATGGTTGGAACCACTCTAAGTTCAGTAATGAACTTCTTCTTCCCGAACACTTCTTCCCGATTTCAGCTGTAATGACATATTTAGCTTCATCATGGAATCAGCAATTACATCTTGTTTCTTGCTTTTCCAGCTAACAGGCCCACCATTGAGAGTGAACACATATCCGGAGTTGGAACTTCTATCATCAACGTCATATTGGAAATCTACGTATGTATAAGCTTCCACTCGTAACTCTGTCACTCCTCCATAATCGAGGAACATGTCCTTAGTTCTTCTTAAGTAATTAAGGATCGTCTTGACAGCTGCCCAGTGTTCTGATCTTGACTTAGATTGATATTGACTAGTAATGCTCACCGTATATACGATATCAGGCCTTGTGCATACCATGGCATACATAAAACTTCCTATAGTGGAAGCATAAGGAACATCACTCATCTGTCATATTTCTTTAAGAGTCTTAGGTCCCAAGGACTTAGAAAGGTGAATTCCATGTCTCACAGGAAGAAAACCTTTCTTAGATTGTTCCATTTAGAACCTACTTAGCACCTTATCTATGTACATAGATGATAGGAGCATATTTATGCAACTTTTTTAGCCTATTTCCTTGCATTTACTTAGTTAGTTTCTATTTATTATAGTGATTTAAGCTATTTTCGTGTGTTTGTAGGTCCAATTGACTAAAGTGGCAAGAAAGTGCAATTTGGAGCATTTTGAGCAGTTTTGGGCTTGGAATGGATAGCACATGCGTGGAGCAAGGTGGATGGACAAAATTGAAGTTCAAGAAAGGCTAAGAATATGCTAAAGAGATGGAAGAAATTAATTCAAGACTTGGAAGAAAAGGAATCAGCTACAAAGAAGGAAACATGAGTCAAACTTCCTTATTTTGACTTAGTCAATCGTAATATTTTCCTACTTAAATTCCAGTTGTTGGGAGGTTCCTAATTAATTTAGGACACTTAACTATAAGTTCTAGAAGCCCTAATCCTAGTAAAAGAGGGATGCCGCACATTTCCCTTCCTTTCCATTTCCCTTGTCGTGCAAGGCATCACCTTTCCTAGTTCCCATTCCTTGCCGCCCCCTTGTTACCCTTTTCTCTCTTGAATTCTGATTTAATTACCATTTTTCCTTGAGGATTTAGAGTCCAAATCTTTCCTAAAACATTTAATTAATGCCATGCCTTTTTCCTAAACTATATACATAATTTGCCGCACAAAAAGGGGGAGATCCATTCACAACCATTCATTCATCCATCTTTCACCACCATCCAACCTATCCATCCATCCATCCTTCGCCAGATTTCATACACACACACACACCTTGTTGAAGGAAAATTTGTGAAAAACATGTTCATTTAAGCAACATCAATAGCATGCAATTAACAATTAAAGGCGGAATCATGCTTGTATGCACTTAAAACAAAACATTTACCCATGAAATTCAAAGCCTAGTAGATAGGTGAACCAAGACTCAACTCAAAACAAAGTGAGTTGAGAAATCAATACCTTTGTAGATTCCTCTTTGCATAAGCAAAGGCTAATCACCCAAAGAGAGGGCCTTCATTCCTTGCATCTTGGATCCATGGATTTGGATGGATGAAAAGGTTTCTCCAAGTTCCCAAAATTGAGAACCTCTAAGTCTCCACACCAAGGTATATTGTAGAAGAAATGAGTGACCTAGAGGAAGTAAGATTGCTAGCTATTCCCCTCTAGATTGGCCAAAATTTTAGAGAGAAAGGAGAGCTTGTGTTCTCATCCTTTCCCCAAAAATAACCCTTAGTAAATTTTAGGCTATAAAGTCCTTTATATAGTCCCTTCAAATAAGTGACCTAATGGACCAAAAGCCCTATTCTTTTACACATGGCTAGCCTATAGGTTTATTGGGCTTTCAAGCCCTTTGTTTTATTCAAGTTGTCATACAACTTGAGTTAATGGGCTTGACATTCAAATCCCATTGGGCCTTGCGGCCCAAAACTAACCCGAGGTCTTTAACGAACTTATTCGTTTGATTAATTAACATATTAATTAATCCTAGCCTTAGATAAATAATTAAACCATTTAATTATTCTTACTCATCTCCGTTGAATCTTCAATCTCTACCTTACACGGTGTACGATCCATTAGGTTCCTTTTAGCGAGGCAGTGGGCGATTCAAACTCTTTCAAATCGATTGTGAATTGAAACTTACTTTCAATTCTCCCGTTAGTGATAATACACTTTTAGGGCTTCCACAAACCATGAGTGACACCTAGCAGCATATCATGGTTACCCAAGCTAATTAGAAGAGGTGGAGAACCTATTCAGTTTAGGATTACAAATGCAATACGGTCTTTCTCTAATACAATACTCTTGACCACATTGTTTGGTTTGATAGTTTATTCATGTCTACTATCCAATGTGAATCTTGTACTTATATGATTACCTTGAATGTGATCTGGAACGCATTCCAACATCTCATTCATACTCTGGCCAGAGATTCTAAATCATATCATAGAGTATTCTCCCTCAAATAGTTTGAAGGTTAGAGATCCCTTGTTGCGCATTCACTTGCCTCCATGGCTAAGTGGCTTAACCCCAACGATGCCGTGGACACCCTGATAGAGTGACGTTGACATAATCAAAGATTAAGGACCTAACCACAAGACAACTGTGATGCCTCAGGTCAAAAGACTAATTTGCATTATCACAACCATGAGTTCTCATGTGACATGAATATGAGAACTCTTCGTTGATCGTGTTCAGTGAACTCATTCTCTATTGAGCACCTACGTACTTGTCTTGATGTCACACACACCAATGACTCGAGACTAGTCACTCTCCCTGAGAGAAGACATAGCACGTACTGATCTTAACGGACTGTCAATGCCCAATTGACAATCCTATGATCAGGAACGTTTAGGATGTGTCAACGAAAGAATGGTCTCATGAATCTAACTTCTTTAGATCGCATTCTTCCAATCACATATTCCTTGGACTTATCGTTTAAGCATATAACATTTATATTAGACGGCTCAAACAATAATCTTTGCCCTTTAAACTACATTAATTTGAAATGTCCGTAAAGTATCATCATATGATTGGTTTTAGGGCACATTTCCAACAATCTCCCACTTGCACTAGAGCCAATCAGCTTAGTCATCATTGATGATACCTCTTCTGTAATTCATTTCATAAATGGCTGAGTAGTAGGCCTAAACAATGGATATCTATATGTTATCCATAGAAGCAACCTTGAGAATAACGACGTCACCATTATACATGATTCTCAATCATGTGGTTCAGTCTCTCATTTGAGTTCGGACCTTGATGAGACCTTGATTCCCTGGCTTGAGCTATCGCCCCATTAGTGTCATACACTTTCTGGTTGGAACCGAATGAAGAGTTCATGAATGAACTTTCCCATCCAAACAACAATGTTGTAATCTTCTATATGGCAATATATTTTGCATATATGATGGAACACATTAAAGTCATTTACTTTTAACGTTTCCACCCAAATATCTCTTTAGTCATAATAAAGAGATATCTCTTTATCACTTCATTCATAATGAAGAGATATTCTATGATGGATTAGATTCATAATCTAATACATTTACGCTTCCATTACGTTACTCTAATTCTTCCTCATTCTTGAGGAATCCATCCTTAGTATTTCTTAAATACCTAAGGATTCACTTGACAGTTGCCATGGTTCTGATCCTGGGCTTGCATTGATATCATCTTGTACCGTTCTAGGTACGACTTATATCAATGTTTTCATACAATATGAAATACATAAATCACCTTTCTGCGTATGCATAAAGGATTCTATTTACGCATTATTTCTTTGGGAGTCAAAGGGTACATTCCCTTTGAGAAGAACAACTTCCTAGTCTCACTAGAATTGTCATTCTAATTGAAGTTTATCATCATATGAGAAACTTCCTAGCATCTCTTGTCTATTTTAGGGATTGATATAATCCAATTATATCTTGAAATCTATCATTATAGATTTCCATCCCATGTATAGACTATGTCTCCCATATACATTCTATCATTATAGAATGTTTAAAGTCATAACTTTAACGATGAAGAATTCCTTTCATTTTCAAAATTAATATATATCATGTATATATATTCTAATTTAGGAATATGATCAACTCCCACTAATCTTTTGTAAACCTAGTAAACAAAAGATTCATTTACATCTTTATGAGAAATCAAACAATTGATCTTTTCTCATAAGAAGCTTATAGCTCCCACTAGCTTGCTAAGATCCATGATGGATGGATCTCTACAACTAACATGTCTTAGAAGTATATATCATATATATATATGGGTAATTGATAATGTCCAACGAACTAAATCTTATTTATGTTCATTCTTCTCCTAATGGAGAAATTCATTATCTTATGATGCTACTTTCCTTGATATTTTTCAAGGAAATTAATCTAAAGTGTTACCTTTTCCTTGGATCAAATCTAAGGAGGTAAATACTTTAGACGTCTTACTCATCTACTTACATTTCTTGAATTCTTTGAAACCTTTTGCAAAGTATTCGGACTTATGTTTATTCAAAATAAACTATAGTCCAACCGAGAGTGATCTTCGGTGAATGTCATACAACATGAGTAGTATTATGTTGTGGACAAGTGCCACTAACATCTAAGTGAATTAACCTCAACAACTTTGTGATTCTTTCTTCTTTCCAAAAGAATAAAGATTCGAACATTTCGCCTCTATACAATTTTAACAAGAAGGTCTTGGATCCGGATCTAACGATCCAAAGCATCCATCTATGACCAACTCGTAACTTATGTTTTAGAGGTATCACAACTCAGTTGGGATTAGTCACTACCTTGCAACCTTTTGGGTTTTAAGCATCATCGTATTCTAAACAGTTAAACTACCACATCATCTCTACTATAGAGACAACCAATTAAATTATAATAATCTAATTTATTGATTAATAAAGAACAATGTTTTTGTCAAACAAAACATTTATCCATCTCTACTATAGTGACGGATTTAAGTTCCTTAAAATTGGAATGTAAAGACAATCTTTAGTATTTTCCAATTTCTTTGGTAGTTCATATGAGGAAGTAAGTACAATCCGCTTTCGCAGAGATCTATATTTTATTCACTTTCCGAATGTGAAGTACTTTCTCTTCTCTCATTTAATCTTCTACTTCTTATTAGCACACTTTTACAACAATTGTAAAACATAGTTACTAATACGGAATCATGCATTCAAGTAGAAGAACCAACTGTTGTGAACTTTTCAAGAACATTTTACAACACCTTCGAAAGGTGTGTTCTTGACACTTGCAAGACATTTCTTGCAAATACCCCTTCCAATGTCCATCCTTTCATAAAGAAAGTTTTTTCCCTTGGAGTTACTTTGCTTTCTTCATTTGACTTCCCTTTTGACTACAATAGTCATGGTCCCTAAACTCCCAC